TCTCTCTCTCTCTCTCTCTCTCTCTCTCTCTCTCGCTCTCGCTCTTTCTCTCTCTGTACCGTGTGGTGGTGAGCAGTGAACGCACGCACAAGCGTCGGCTTCTGCTGCCGTGAGCGATAGAAGGGAGAGAACTCTCCCTCACGGAAACAGGGCAGCAGGAGAGGAGAGACCGGGTCGATAGCTATTGGAATTGGGGAGGCGCCATTTGGTGGAGTCGCGCTTTCTCGTGGGTCCGTTCTTGGTTGTGGGTTTTAGTCGGAGTTATACAGCAGTTGAATTTGAGTTTGTCTCGTGTGGTTTCAGCAAGAGTTTTACAGCAGTTGAATTTGAGTTTGTCTCGTGTGATTTTAGCAAGAGTTTTACAGCAGTTGAATTTGAGTTTGTCTCGAGTGGTTTCAGCAAGAGTTTTACAGCAGTTGAATTTGTGTTTGTCTCGTGTGGTTTTAGTATGAGTTTTACAGCCTGGTTAGGTACGATTCGTGTGGTTTTAGCAAGAGTTTTACTGTAGTTAAATTTGAATTTGTCTCAAGTAGTGTCAGCAAGAGTTTTACAGAACGTTTGAATACGATTCGTATGGTTTTTAGAAAACGTTTTACAGCAGTTGTTTTAATTTTAGTTTTAGTAAGTGTTTTACGGCACTTGCAACACAATAAGGTCAAATAAGTGCCGAAGATTAGAGGAGTTACAAGAGAGTAACAAACACAAAAAAGAAGGAGGAGAGATAAGGCTGACAGATGTTTGAATAGGAAAGAAGAAGCAAACCACACCAGAGCACCCGCCAACCACCCACTACAGCAGTTGTGTATGAGTTTTAGTTTGAGTAAAGAAAAACACAACCATAAAATAACGGGGATGTTGTAGTGAGGGGAAGAAATAAGACGGGTAGAAAGAAACAACAGAGGGAAAAAACAATATGAACATAATATAGGGCACATAACTGCTGAAGATTGGATGGGTTATTAGTTTGTTTGTTTGTTTGTTTGAGTAAAGAGAAGCACAAAGACACAATAACGGTCATTCAGTGCTGGGGGAAAGTAAGACAGACAGACAGACGGAAACAACACAGGGGAAGTAAAGAAGTAGGACCTACCAGTGGCTCCCTCCAACCACACACACGTTACAAGTGACCAACAAACAATGAAAATAAGAAGAAGAGATATGGACGATACTTTTTAGTTTTAGTAAGTGCTTCACGGCACTTACAACACAATAAGGTCATAATTATAAGTGCCGAAGATAAGAGGTGTTACAAGAGAGTAACAAACATAAAAAAGAAGGAGGGAAGATAAAGACGATAGATGTTTGATAGGAAAGAAGAAACAAACCACACCAGAGCACCCGCCAACCACCGACACGATCAATGTTTGATAGGACAAAAGAAGCAAACTACACCAGAGCACCAGCCAACCACCCACTCGAGATATTGGATAACAATTTTCCCCTCTCGCCAGGAATCGAACTCGGATCTCCAGAGTGCGCGGACAAAGCGCTTATAACTAATATAACCTGTGCACTGCCGAAAGCTGTCAAAACGTAGTCTAAACAGCTGCATGCACTGCTCACAGCCGAACGCTCCGTACCCCAGACTCTAGCATGGAGATCATCCGGAGAGAATGCGTCGCTGTTTTGGACTCTTCAAAGCGCTTATAACCTGTACAATGCCGAAAGCTGACAAAACGCCTTTCCTTCATTTTGGCGTAAAAATTCTTTATTTGGTAAATCTACAGCATGATGAGTTACCCCAGTTGTTTGGGGAAAAAATTCAAAATGAAACTGACCAGTGTTTAACGATAAATTAGGATTCAAATTTCGTAATAACACTAGATCTTTTTTTAAATGGTTACGCTGACAATAAAAAACACCTCTTCTTTTTTCTCAAATCTTCTGTGAACAAATAAGGCGTTTTGTCAGCTTACGATAGTACCACATCCCAGACGCCTTGCATAGTCTCAGGTCTCTGACATTAGTCACTATCGGCGGGTACAAAGTGCCAGGCAATTTCTTCGTGGGTCACTGGATCAATTAAAACTTGTGCGTGTGATTGGGCTATGGATCGACCGAGGAGGGGGCGGGGCGGTGGGGGATGATTGGAAAGGAGAGAAACAATGTGTCACGGCGCGGTGGAATCAGGCGCTCGTCAGTTTGTGTGGAAACATCATCATCATTTTAGACCACCAAGGGATCTTTAACGTGGGACCTCTGAGACTAGTCACCCTTGTCCGAGAAGGCTGGGTGTAGATCTTTCCTACCAGAAGATCAGGGGTTGGGTTGAAAGACAGCAGTAAGAAGGAGCCAAGGAGTAGCAGTAGAAAGGCTGCAGAAAGATTCAGGAGCCAAAAGGAGGGGGTAAAGGGGGTGAGGGGGTGGGAGTAGAAAGTGGAGACGGAAGCAGACGACAGAATATTGCTAGAGAACAGGAAAGGAGGGGAAAGGAGACAATTTTAAAGAACCCATTTTTTTCCTGTCGCAACCCAGATTCGGATCCGGGACCTTTGAATGAGAAGCGAACACCTTAACCTCTAGGTCACGAGAGCCTCCTCAAAACAGACTGAGGTAGACTGAAATTACAGGGTCGAAAAGGGGACAAGATCACAACATTGTTCAGTGCAATGTCGGAAAGTGGTGAATTAAAACATTCTTAGCTCATAAAACGTTAGTTTTTTTTCAGGAGAATTATTAATAGGCTACAAAACTGGTTCATTCTTTTAACAATAATAATTGTACATAATGCATTGTGTTGGGTTTTTAATATCCTTTTTTATTCAGAATTTAGAAGTTGAATTTCGAAAAAATATTTCTCGAGCAAATGCAACCGACACCTTCAGAAAATAATAAGCCATGTACATTTTCACAGGGAAGTGATCTGTACCATCTTTAGAATGTGCTATAATAAATAACAATCACAAATACATCTATACATATTATAATATATTTATGAAAGTTCGTCACTCTTGCCGCCTAAAACTTCCGAACCCCTTAATTTTCTAATATGACCGAATTAACGATAATCTAGAATCATTTAAAGGCTGCACAGTTCTATTGAGGAGCATGAAGTCACTGTAGTTTAATTTTCAATTTTTTCATTAGTTTCGTTTAGACCTAATCTTGGGATAGTCCGTCTATTAAGATGCCATTGTAAACAAGTGAGGCTTCCGTTCACTAGCTGTGCACACCGTTCCACACCTTTGAAATTCTGGAGTGCACAACCACGAAAGCGGAATGGAGAATCAAGCTATACATCTATTAAATATTTGACAGCTTGGAAACACATGTGTCTCTTTTCTCTCAATATTTATTGCTCCATTCCAGTAGAGTGTAAATATAGTAGGCCAATGACTTTCAGTTGATGTTAATGCACCGATCATTCCTCTCATCGAAAGGGGGCCCAGCTAGTATTATCATAATTCTGATTCTGAATACGGCTATCCCACCCAGAAGATTTTGATGGTCCGTGAGCCGGCGAAATGCGACGCGGCCCGGTGGAAGCAAGCACGAGGCGATGGTGATAACGAGCGTGCACGAGTAATTCTTCTTGGCGAGTGAGCAGCAACACAGCGCACTGGTGCGTGCATGCCACAGATTTAGAATATTCCAGACTCCGTACTGTCATGGCCGCTAGTCTTTTGTTTGTTGGAGTAAAGAGAAGCAGATCGACACAAACAGGGGAAAAATAAGACAGATAGACAGATAGACAGAAACAACACGAGGGGGGAAGTAAAGAAGTAGGACCTACCAGTGGCGCCCTCCAATCACCCACACAGACAGAAACAAGACGAGGGAAAGTAAAGAAGTAGGACCTACCAGTGGCGCCCTCCAACCACCCACACAGACAGAAACAACAGAGGGGAAGTAAAGAAGTAGGACCTACCAGTGGCGCCCTCCAACCACCCACACAGACTGAAACAACAGAGGGAAAGTAAAGAAGTAGGACCTACCAGTGGGGCCCTCCAACCACCCACACAGACAGAAACAACAGAGAGGAAGTAAAGAGAACCAAGACTTCTTAATTTGTTTCTCTAGCTGACCATGGGATACACAGCATGCGTCTTATGAACCACAATTGGTCGCTCTTAAGGACAAGCGGGCTAACCCAGATTTTGTGGGTTTCCAGAAATCTTGACCTACACCAAAAGTGGGCATTGCCCTACCTATAAGAGTAGTTTGGTTTCATTGGTGTGTATATATTTTTTATTTTTTTTGGTTATAGAGAAAACTCTCCTTGTCTTTTAAAGAAACTGAACAAGGGGCAAAAACTTTACCTTCGATTTTCTCAAAACTGCGTTTTTCGGGATAGCCCCTTGTGCTTAAAAGCGACCAATTTAGCTCCTAAAATAATCAAATATGGCGCGCTCCATAGTGAACCGGATGTACGTCACAGCTGACTATCTTGGATATCACATAACAAGGTCTGTGGTGCACGCCGAGGTTGGGTGGGGGGGGGGGGGGTGGTGCTGCCTATAACTCGATGCACATCATCAGCGAGCCTACACAAAAGTTCTGCCTTCATGGATCGAAGGCGACATTTAAAAAAATTGGATCTGCTAAACAATGCAATTTTTAACGTATCCCGTTGTAACCTTGGAAACGAAGACGTTTTTAATTTAAGTGAGAGTTTTACGCCCCTAGCAACACAATAATAGAATAAATGGTGATAGTGATAATAGCATTACAAGTGCTGAATAATAGATAGTTACTCAACGATAGAGGTGATACTAAATCGCAACATCTAGAGATAAGAAGAAAGAGAAGAACTTTTACAATGGATAGTTGGTTGGAAAGAAGAAGCAAATCACACTAGAGCACCCACCAACCACCCTCCAAAGAAGCAATCGCCCCATGCGAGCGGTCATGTCAAAATTTCAAGATAGTATAACATACTTTGGAGAGGGGAATCCGTGACTACACAAGGCGGCGTCGGTAGTCTTGTGGCAAGGCTCTCGAACTCTCAACCGTCAAGAGATAGATTAAAAATCCAAAAGTGCCAGAACAACATAGGGGGAACTGCTGCTTTTTCTTTCCTCATCCTTACTAGTGTCATTTTTTCCTCTACTTTTTTTGTATGTTTGTAACTCTCTGGTGAACGGATATTTTCGGGGTGTCTTGATAATCGAAGCAGAGTTTGTGCTTTTGAGGCTAGAGAGGTGAGCAGACTAAGCCTGATTCCATGTAAGGACTTCTCTGATGACATCCACCCCCTGGCGCTCATATGACCTAATGCAGTTGCGAGCGCCGTAAAACCTTACTAAAACTAACTAAAAATTCAATGTTAATCTCGTCAGGGACCGGACCTGACGTTGTGTGTTTAGGAAAGGCACAACTGGTCGCTTTTAAGGACAAGCGGGCTAACCCAGATTTCGGGGGTTTCCAGAAATCTTGACCTTACTTCCTTACTTCACTCAAGTAGGTGTTAATGGGTAACGACTATAGACAGTGAAAGATCTTGCCAGTTAGTGTTTGAGCGATTAATAAATGGCGACTTGCCCTATATGCTGCCCAGGAAACGGAGAACGTTTCTGAGTGTTCGACGGTCAGCAGTGGTAATCTTACTAAAGAAGTCTTACCCCTAGAGGTAGTCAAGAGGGGGTTTTAGATCTACATGGATATATTCAAGGTAAAATATTTGTGTTTTGTTTCTTTCCTGTTTTCAGTCTTTCTCCTCTTCTTAACTTTCCTAATAACTCTTCATTATTATTCCGTTCGTAGAACGGGCACTTTTATTACTAGTAATAATAATACATGTAATACAACCGTAAAGCGCACAGAACTTGTTCAGTTTCGTTTTAGTAAGGTTTTACGGCACTTTGCAGGCCAGCGACCAAACAAAAAAAAGAAATTCAAAAAAATTATCTTGATCCAGAAATTAAATTTTTTTTTTCTCTTTGGGTCCTATATTAAAAACTTCTTTTTGGATGCATACAAAGGATCATTAAAATAAATTGTTAATGACTTACCTTGCCCAACCTTGCCCATAAACTGCTCATTTTGAGACAGCGACACCGCCTTCCCACTACATTAATAAACTTCAGAGTAAGCTGGTCGATTTCATCCCCCGGCTGTCTAGACGTCTCCACGTGCTCCACGTGAGTCTCGAAAATTACTCACCCCGTCTCCTGAGTCGCGTTTCTTTTCAGCGTACTTTACAGTGTGTTGTTGAGGAAAATAATAAATGTCAACTTTTAAATGTTTCCGGAGCATGCTTTAAATATATCTCCAATAATTTTTTTGGACCCACTTTAGGCTTGCATCAAAGAAAACGTGTCGGAACCTTAGTTTGCAGTGATCTTTTTGAATGGGCTATGATATTCTGCTGGTTATCCAATTTTTATACCCGTATGCAAAAATCCGAAAAGATTGAACAGGACGATTTCATTTTATCTCGTTTTATTAAGCGCTGTCTGACGAAAGTGAACAAGCTATAATAATACCCAATCCTTCTAATATTCGTGTTGCAACTCACCGCTTTGTTTTTAGTAAGGTTTTACGGCGCTCGTAACTGCATAAAGTCACATGGGCGCCAAGGGGTGGATATCAACAGAGATGTCCAAACCGGGAATCAGGCTTACTCTGCTCACCCCTCTTGCCTCATCAGCACAAAGTCTGCTTCAACTATCAAGGCACCCCGGAAATAGCAGTTTACAAGAGAGTGACAAACATACAAAAGAAGTAGAGGGAAAATGAAAATAGTAAGGATGAGAAAAGAAAAAGCAGCAGTCCCCCCCCCCCCCCCCCCCCCACCCCCTATGTTTTTCCGGCACAGTACGAGCATGCCATTGATAAATCAGCCCATTTACTATTCTGCTGTGCATAAGAACATGTTGATATCCCCACTTTGGGAATGGCCTACAGACAACTTCAGTCAGTGGCACTGCCCTGGTTTATGGGTACTCCCCACTTATCTATCTGAGTAGATCATGGTAATTTTTTACCCGCTCGCTGCACTCTTCTAGTAGTATGTATTAGTATAGGGTTTTACGGCGCTCGCAACTGCTAAGGTCATATAAGCGCGCGAAACAAGTTGTTTACTTTCGCAAAAGTTTGCTGCACGATTGGTTAACTAATTTATTCTAAAATGCTAGAATGTTAAAATATTAAGATTCAGTGTAAATATATTTGTGATTTCAAACAACTCTTATAAGTAACAATAAACATTTTAAATAGTACGTTTCATTTTACAACTTGCCATAAAGACCAATGGCCTTCATAAAGTTCAAAATTTTGCTGGGACCAACGACGGAAAAAATATCTTGAAATTTCTTGCATTTATAATATTTCCTTCGGATCTCTCCAAAGTCTAGACATTCTGTTAAAATGTGTCCAATGGTAAAATCTGTGTCGCATCCGACACAGAACGGCTTCTCATCTCCCTGTAGGAGGTATTTGTGGGTCAGGGCCGTGTGTCCGATGGGCAATCGAGTAAAAATGACTTCGTCTCTTCTGGAGAGGTCCGAAGGATTTCGCTGCTCTAGTTTGGGTTTTATTTCATATAGTTTATTATTTTTCTGCTTTTCCCAGTGGCTCTCCCACAGACTAGAGGTGTACTTTTTTACTTTATTTCTAAAGTCAGTCTGTGGGAGAGTGTTTGTCGTTGATCCCAGCAGAAGGGATGAAGCTTTCTTTGCCAGGTCGTCTACCTGCTCGTTCCCTCGGATGCCCACATGACTGGGTATCCATGTAAACATGATGTTTTTTCCTGTTTCGGATAGTGTATGAATTTTCTGTTGTAGCCTAACTATTTTTGGATGTAAGAGTGTGTAGTTTGTGAGTGAGGTGATGCAAGACAGAAAGTCAGAAAGGATAAGGAAAGATTTGTTAGGAGAATTTTCTACAGAGTCCAGTGCCATGTCAATGGCAGTGGCCTCCGCAGTGAAAATGGAGGCTTCAGGGTGGAGTCTCCTCTGGTGTGTATTGTTGGGAGATAGGTCGGGTTCAATGGGGAAACAAAAATTCACCAAGCAATGTCAATATATGAGGCGTCAACACGTCGCATGTTTTAAAAAGTTTTTATATAGAAATAGCACGGAATAGTTTTTTGTCATAGTCATAGGGAATGTATTAATCGTTGGAATGTGTCGGCGATCAAAGGTATCGATATCATTTTTTTTTTAAGAATGCGAGGCCTTGATATTTTTGTTTATAGGAAAGTGCACGGGCCTGATGCTTTGAAGTTCCCCTTCAAGGACTTCATTTTAAGGTCATCACAAGGGGAAGGGGGGAGTGGGAGAGAGGTGGGTGGCGGAAGGAGAGGTGTTTGATGTATAATAATGATGGTCTTTTCCATATTTACTGACGAACTTTAAGGAATACACATATGGTACAGCTTTGTTTGGGCGGTAGACATAGAGGAGGTAGATCTTACAGCAGTATACATGATAAAACTTTGTGCGGTAGACATAGAGGAAGTAGATCTTACAGAAGTATATATGATACAGCTTTGCCGGGGTCGTAGACATAGACACGTGGTGTCGGTAATCTAGTGGTTAATTAGCCACCGGACTCGCTATTGTGAGATTGCAGGTTCGGGGGTTCGAGCCTCAGGTCTGTCAGACGTTGTGTCCTTAGGAAACTTTACATGAAATTTCCCACTTGGCTCTGTCCTTTTAGAGACGGACATTTGACTTCAACTCGGAGGCCCCGCCTCTTAAATTATCTAATAGAGGAATAAAAGTAGATTGTTCAAGAAGGCCTATTTCACCCCCTCCCTTCTGATCACTTCCGTAATATGTTCCAAAGAAGAGACATCGCCAGTAGGCCCATGTTTGGAACCAAAGAATTGGGTATAAGGATGTGTCTGACACGCTAAAAACTTTCTCACAATAGGAACATGCTTATTAACAATACACTAAGACTTCTTCTGCTCTGCTTGATCCCATGAGTAGTTGGCTACTGGTAGTTCAACCTGCCGTGCAACCTGCAAGGAAACTAGTCTAAACACAGACGATAGAGTCATTTGGAGAGTGACATATCAGTGGTGTAATTTTGCAAGCCGCTTGTTTCTTTTCGCTGTGCCACTGGCCTCTATAAGTGAAATGACATAGATATTACGAAGCATTACACTGTATTTTTACTCTAACTTTAACAGTCATTAAAATAATTTGACGTGTTCTTACTTTCATTGCTGTTGTTGGCTTGCCTTTATTGTAATAAGGTATAATGTGACGTTTTTGTTTCTGGAATATGACGTAACCTTGTACTTTCTGCAATGAAAAAAGTCTTAAACAGAATTCTTTATTCCACCCTTACAAACTAATATTATTAATGGTGATTGGGAAGAAAACGCTAAGAAATTAAATATGTCGTAAAATAAAACATCGATGCAGAATCACTCCGAAAAAAATGTTTTTAAAAGTTATTTCCCTTGATTATATCCTGTCATAACTCCTTTTTTGAGAATGTACTAAATCAGAATCTGCGCAGAAAAATTCCAATAACGAATGCAATATTCGGACTTAGGTTATCTAAAAACGCTGAAATTCTCATATGGTTTGATTCCTGCTTTGTTCATATCTAGGCGAATGAAAGTTGTTGACATGGCTGACAAGTCGTGGCAAACGCAGGCCCAGGCGAGTGTTTATTCTGTTCTCGTCGACTTGTTCTTAATCTAGCTCACGGAAATGTTCTATTTTGTGCTCTATAAACTTATGCGTGCAGAAGAGATAGGACCCAATAACAGAAAGCACTGTTTAATAAAAATTAGTCTGTTGAAGAAAGTGTCGAAAGCCAGAAAATCCCCAAACGCCCAAACTGGTTACTTAATTTGACTGACTTAAGTTTAGATCTTTATCTTATTATATCTAGAATCTAGATCTAGATTCTAGATCTAGATCTAGATTTCTAGGTCTCTAGATCTAGATCTTGATCTATCATCTAGTTCGAGTAAGAAATAATTTAGCCTTCTAGATCTAGATCTAGATTCTAGAGGGTCTAGATCTACATCACATTGATTTTGATGAGAATTCACAACACTCAGGCTACTCTTTGTGAATAGATTTATTATATTCTAGATCTAGATTCTAGATCCTCTTGCTATCACTCCATATATTTCATATATAATATAGAATCTAGATCTAGATTAATCATGTTCTATCATAGCTTGGGTGCTTTTTCAGTAGTTCCCACCCCTATACGAAGTGACTATTCGTAGCAATGCCAATGAAAATTTAAATTTTCACTTTTGCCCCCTTTTTTTTGGTACCTAAGAAAGAATTTTCAATTCTGATAATTATGCTTCTTGAATTTTGAGAAACGGTTCATAAATAAAAAAGTTATGGGGTTGTAAAGGTCGGCAAAATATGGATGACCCACATAGGAAAATACTCCTAAAAAGTGGACCACGCAGTAGCAGATTCTGTAAGAAAATCGACGATATCTCGGTAACTAATCCAAATGTTCGGGAGAAACTTGGCTACCCGATGTGTTTTTGAGTGTAGAAATCATTTCTACAGTCAGATTTACTACCAATTTCGTAGTTATTTTGTTATAATTAAAATTGTGGTGTACATATTACGATTTTGCGAAAAAGGGGTGTCGGGATGAGTCCATTTTATTTATAGCATCGTATCACAACATGGGATCTTTAAGAATATATGTCGGCAGCGTGACTAAATAATTGCAAAGCTTTTTATGATGACTTTAGACCATGCCGACCGTAAAAGATAAGTTAATTCAATCTAGCATGCCGTACAATTAAAAATTCTTTTTCCCCGTTGAGCCGCGAACACCCCGAGACGAGATAACCTCGCCTCGGAATACCCCCATTGCGATGTTACAGGGGAATAGAGAGAAAAACAACCGGATGCGCGCGCCCGCCATTGCCCTATTTCAAGTGACCAATGAACGGGCCCGGAATAGTCATGCGGGGATTTGTAGGTCACAGACATTTGCCACGGGAGTGAGGGGAAAATGGCCGGTCTCCGTGCGAAGCCGCTTTGGATAGGGGGGTAGTCGTAGATTTACGATCGGGTCTAAACAACTACTTGACACAGAACTCTCAAATTTGAGCACACTATAGAGGATAGATAGATCTATTACCATCTGGGCGTTGAAATTCAAACTCCTTATAGTTTTCGGTGTACACGATATGAAAGTGTTCCCGACACCAAAAGTATAGGTTAATTTATGTGTACGAACTTCAACGTCCACATATCATTAGTTTGCCCTATTTTCTGATTGGTAGCCGAGTTTCATTCGGATTGGTTCGGAAATAGAGCAGACCGAGGTTGACAAAGTTAGTCACCTACGCTTCGGCCGGGTCCGCAAAATCGCCCGTAAACGGGGACCAAATTTTCGCCTCGCGGGAAAGCCCGATTGGCATTGCTACTATTCGGACTCGAGTCCGAATATATGAAAAAATGTTATTCGGACTCTGATTCTTGTCCAGCATGACATCGCTATTGACTTCCGACTTCCTGTGACTCGTGAATCCGGCTTCCTGTCCTGCCTCACTCGTGACTCACCTCAGGCTGGGTAGAGACCGGGATCACTTCGGGCAAAATGGCGTTAAATTGTGCCGGAGCCGAGCTTTAATCTTATGATGAATTTGAGGCCGGCCTGAAAAGTTATAGCGCTTCTAATTAATGTTTATTTGCCAAGAGGTCATCAGAAGCAATTAAAGATGGCTCGTTAGCGTGTGTCGGGGTTGGATGGGCGGCCTGCACACGTTTGGCTGTGTGTGTGTCGGGGAGGGGGGTGGGGGGGCACTATCGGTCCGGGCGTTGAACGTCGCATACGCGTCAGTCTTTTTCCCCCCGGCAACTGATCATTATTATAATAAGCTAGTCTTGACGTAGATCTACGTAATGAATTGTGCGCTGGTCTATGGAATCAAAAGTTGCCGTATGCTCAGCTCTACATAGCAACACAACTTTTTCTTGGTAAACAATGGATATGACACAGGCTTGTGTATTTGAACGAATCAGTCTTTTTTTTTTTTACACAGCTCATAATATGCAGGTGCCAGGTGGTCTGCTAATCTTCAATTTTACCTTTTTCTACAACAAAGAAAGTGGGGAACATGGGGGGTGGGGGGGGGGGCGCATCAATGAGGCGGCAGGCGTCGGATCGGCAGAAAAGGTGTGAGGGAAACAAAAAAATGGCGGAAAATTGGAAGCACTGAACGTTAGATCTATAGAACGAAGACACTTCCTTTTTTCCGGACCCGAGTCCGAATAACATTTTTTCATATTCGAGTCCGAATAAGAAATATTTTTATTCGGACTCGAGTCCGAATATGAAAAAATGTTATTCGGACTCGAGTCCGAATAACGACGGTCCCTCTTATAATAACCCCCCCACCTTATTTTCTTTAGGTCAAGCCCCCCTGAAACCCCCCTATTCTTTGGGGCCAAAACGCGCGAATAACAATTGCGGGGTGGGAACTACCGAAAAAGCGCCATAGTTTGTAAGCCTACTATATAGGCTATGTAATTGTTATCATTTAGTTTTCATTATTGATGGCAACTTAGCAATGCCAATGAAAATTTAAATTTTCATTTTAGTCCTTTTTATTTTGGTACCTAAGAAAGAATGTTCAATTCTAAGAAATAAATGCTCTTGAATTTTAAGAATCGGTTCATAAATAAAAAAGTTATGGGGTTGTAATGGTCGGCAAAATATGGATGACCCACAGGAAAATACTCCTAAAAAGTGGACCACGCAGTAGCAGATTCAGTAAGAAAATCGACGATATCTCGGTAACTAATCGGAGTGTTCGAGAGAAACTTGGCTACCCGATGTGTTTTTGAGTGTAGAAATCATTTCTGCAGTCAGATTTACTACCAATTTCATAGTTATTTTGAATTTTGTTATAACTAAAATTTTGGTGTACATATTACAATTTTGCGAAAAAGGGGTGTCGGGATGAGTCCATTTTATTTATAGCATCGTATCACAACATGGGATCTTTAAGAATATATGTCGACAGCGTGACTAAATAATTGCAAAGCTTTTTATGATGACTTTAGACCATGCCAACCGTAAAAGATAAGTTAATTCAATCTAGCATGCCGTACAATTAAAAATTCTTTTCCCCCGTTGAGACGCGAACACCCCGAGACGAGATAACCTCGCCTCGGAATACCCCCATAGCGATGTTACAGGGGAATAGAGAGAAAAACACCCGAATGCGCGCGCCCGCCATTGCCCTATTTCAAGTGACCAATGAACGGGCCCGGAATAGTCATGCGGGGATTTGTAGGTCACATACATTTGCCACGAGAGTGAGGGGAAAATGGCCGGTCTCCGTGTGAAGCCGCTTTGGATAGGGGGGTAGTCGTGCATTTATGACCGGGTGTAAACAACTACTTGACACAGAACGTTCAAATTTGAGCACACTATAGAGGATAGATAGATCTATTACCATCTCGGCATTGAAATTCAAACTCCTTATAGTTTTCGGTGTACACGATACGAAAGTGTTCCCGATACCAAAAGTATAGGTTAATTTATGTGTACGAACTTCAACGTCCACATATCATTAGTTTGCCCTATTTTCTGATTGGTTGCCGAGTTTCATTCGGATTGGTTCGGAAATAGAGCAGACCGAGGTTGACAAAGTTAGTCACCTACGCTTCGGCCGGGTCCGCAAAATCGCCCGTAAACGGGGACCAAATTTTCGCCGCGCGGGAAAGCCCGATTGGCATTGCTAGGCAACTCGACTGCAACCTAAAGAAAAGAAAGTCTTGAAAAGTACTCTAGTCTAGAGGTCTAGTCGAGATATTTTTGAAATTACATAACATAATATATAAGGTTGGCCTGTTCGTTTTAGTTTTGCTGCTACAATTATTATTGTTGAAGTTTGATCATGTAGTACGAAGGGCAGATGTAGGATGTAGAATCAATGGAAAGGGGGGGGGGGAGGTCAAATGGATGGGGCCTCATCTACTGAGTAACTACCCACAGCCTTTGCCCATTCGGGGGCTCTTGTGGCCAAGAGGTTAAGGTGTTGGCCTCTCATTCAAAGGTCCCGGGTTCGAATCCGGGTAGAGACCGAAAAAATTTCTTCGCTAAAATTGTCTCCTTTCACCTCCTTTCCTGCTCTTTAGCAATATTCTGTCGTCTCCTTTCGTCTCCTCTTTCTGCCCCCACCCCCTCACCTCCTTTGCCCCCTCCTCTGGGCTCCTGACTTTCTGCAGCCTTTCTACTGCTACTCCTTGACTCCTTCTTACAGCTGTCTTTCTCCACACCCCTGATCTTCTGGTAGGAAAGATCTACACCTAGCCTTCTCGGACAAGGGCGAAAAATCTTGGAGGTCTCGTGTGCAAGTTGCGCACATTTAAGATCCCTTGGTGGTCTAAAATCGATAAGAGTAGGCTTCGGCCGCCACCCGGGCAAAATTCAAAATTTCCTACCAACTAAAAGTATTAGGTGTGTCCCGCGCGCTCATATGACCTGACCTATGCAGTTGCGAGTGCCGTAAAACACTTTACATATCAAAAAAACATTTGCCCATTCCTTAATGGGGCCAGCAGATAGGAGTTTGATAGTTGACCCCCTCCCTGTGTCTGTCTAACGTCTTTAGCCCTCTGCCTATCTTCAGTGGAGGAGTAGAACCATTTGGATAAATGATTAGGAAAACAAACCCAGTGGCAACAACAACAAAAGATGCCACTCCTCTCCCCTTCCCTCACCCTCACCCCCACCCTCACCCCACCCCTTATCACAAAGAAAACAGTCAATGTAGTCAGCAACATAAATGTAAGACTGTTCTGCTCAGATAGTGTAGTCACTTGTTAGTAAAATTATGTTGTGTTAATGTGTTCACTGATGTTGTGGCTGGTGGTATCAAAATGTTTATTTATATCAATGTTCTTCTGGAATTTGTTTAGTTGAAAAGCATACGACAGGTCTTTGTAAAATAGTTGAGAAGAATGAAAATATTTTAGCAGCTGCTCTTTTGAAAGTCATGCCAATTAGAGGCATGTATGATTACTTCTTTACTTCTTCTTTATGTTTGTTGTGCTACTTTTTCCTTTAAAAAATTTTTCCAGTCGGAACCTGGGTCTGCCGTGTTGGACATGGATTTGGAAGAGATGGAGATGATGGATGACCATGGTAAGGGCTGAGAAGTTTCTCATGCAGCCTCTAATAAACATTTGATGACTCCTCATCGTCTAGTTTATAATGTAGTCCTTTCTATGCAGTAAAATTGACCAATTAAATGTTGTATGTATTGTCGCAATTATATCTATCTATCCATCCGTCCATCTATCCATCCATCCATCTATCCATTCATATATCTATCCAACCAACTATCTATCAATCTATCTGTACATCCATATATCTGTCCATCTATCTATCGAAAGCTGTAATAATAATAATAATAATAATAATAAAAATAGCATTTGTATAGAGCGCATAATATATCTCCACTTGAAAGCAAGCTCTTCAATGCGCTTTCCACTGTGATGATGAGTGTATCTGTTACATTATAATGTGTCATCGTAATTACCTACTACACTAGCCTCAACTTTATTGACCCAATATTATGATTCGAACAGTTAGGCCTTTAAAGAAAAGGTTTATCGATTGAAGATATTTATTGTTCTGATGGTAAAAATTGATTATTAATAAAATCCACCCAGAACCCAGAAACATATTTTTCTGTGGACTGTAAAGTTAAAGTGTTGAGGAGCCC